CCCGACCCTCCGGGGGGGGGGGGGGAGGGGAGGAGGGACCGGGGCTGTGGGGCACCCATGCCCCCCACCCTGATTCTCTCCTCTTCTCCCTTGACAGATGCAGCCATGTACAACAACTCGGTGGCCCCCCCGGAGGTGTCTGTGGTCCCCACCACTTACGGTAAGGCATTGAAAAGCACATTGCCCTGAGCTGGGCAGGGGCCAGGGTCACCTCCCTGTGGGGTGATGCTCTGGGGGGCTCTGCCCCATACAATGGAGGAAGGGGGCAGTGCCCTGGTGTGACCGGTTCTTGGTGTCCCCTCCTCCTGCCAGACCCCACGCTCAAGGTAGATGACAGCAACACGCGCATCCTGATCGGGTGCCTGGTGGCGATCATCTTCATCCTGGTGGCCATCATCGTCATCATACTGTGGCGGCAGTTCTGGCAGAAGATGCTAGAGAAGGTGGGCAAGGGCGGGGTGGTTGGCGAGGTGTCCCAGGGTGGTGGGCTCGTCCCAGGCAGGTTCTCCTGGGAGCTCAGCATGGGGAAAGCAGAGTCCATGCGGGGGCTGATGCTCCCTTCCCCTCCTCGGGAAGGTTGTGATTTGCATCCATCTCCCAAGCAAGGGGATTTAGCTGAGCAGGGCAGTGACTTTGGGACCTGCCTCTTGTCCATCCCTCTGTCCTGAAGCTGGGCTGGGGAAGAGAAGCCTGAGGGGGTCTCACTGCAGCCCCCGGCTAACTGAGGTCAGTCGCAGACGTGATGGAGCCAAACTGTTCTCCATAGAGGCAGACAATAGAAGGGGGGGACACGAGGACAAATGTCTTCCCCAGGTGGGTGCTGCAGCCCTGGGCCAGGGCACCAGAGAACCCAGGGAGCAGGAGTCCAGCTCCACCTACGACCGCATATTCCCCCTGGGACCCGACTACCAGGAGCCCTCCCGCCTGATCCGCAAGCTGCCCGAGTTCACCCCGGGGGAGGAGGACATGGGTGAGAGCTGGGACACCCTGCGTACTGAGAGCCAGCCGCCATGCACCGAACCCAGCGCAGCCCTAGCCCCAGCTTTTGCCAAGCTCCAAACATTTTGGCACGGGGTGGGGGGGGGGATGTTGCACGAGCTCCTGTGCATCCCACTCGAAGGTCACACAAAGCCTGTGACTGAGAGCAATCACCAGTGTCCACGCCGGGCTGAGCTATGTCCCCATCACCATCCTTGGGATGCTCCAGCATCTATTCCTCAGTGATCTGGAGGTCGGGCACTGATCCCGGCTCATCTGGCGCTTGGGGCTGGGTTGGTGCACTTGTCAGTGATGGGGAAGGAGCGCAGCAGCCTGCGGTGTCTGCAGGCCCCCAGCCGTACCAGGGCAGCGTGGGGACTCTGGGGAGGATGGGGACGGAGAAGCCGGTGACTGGA